TCTACTTCTTCTAACAATGCAAGTTTCCAAGTGACTTACGGACAGAACGCGAGTCAGGGGAACCTTTCTCTTGAAAGCAATGCAAACAAGGTGGTTTTGACGTAATTTTGGAAATGCATTTTTGTTGATTTTAAATCTACCATGTCTCGATGCAGAGATAACCCTCCCTTTGTCATTATTAATAGTGGTGACAGGAGGATATATCTAAAAACTATGGGTTTTTTAAAAGAAATGAATCTTTGGATGAGCATCAAAAAGTCTAGTAAATTGGCTTTTTAGACTTCATTTATGGGTTGGAATGGTGTTCCTTATAATTGCGAAATGTATAGCCGTAATCGCCCTCCGTCAAATGCAGGGCAGGCTTTTATTCAACGTGTACCTGGCGGACACGCCCAACCAGCGGGTTTTCCAAGATCTATGTCGAGCCCTGGTCAACAGCATTCCCAAAATTCTAGATGGATTTTGATACAAAACCATGGCCAGGTGGTTAATTGGGGGTCTTACTATTTTTCTCAAACTTTCGTGTATCGAATTTTGTTCCTTAGGACATCGGTCATTTTTGCCGTTTTCTTTGAAAATTATTGTTGTTTTTAGACATGTAATTTTATTGTTTATACTTTAATCACGGATGAAAATGGGCTCTTTCAGAATGACCAACAAATACAAATGTTGGCTCAAAAGGCCGGAAAAATTGCGCAGTGCACTTGTCCTGCTCCAGGTGGTGGTTTTTGGGGTCTAAAGTTTGTGGAGCCGGCCGAAACTGTTGTAGAACGGATCAAAGCTGAAGCGCCATTTTGTAAGTTTTGAGAAGGTTGAATTTCGCGCTTTTGTGCAATCTTGATGCTGGTGCGGAATCTGCACTAGCTTTTATTAAAAGCTTTTTAGTCGAATTTCTGAAGATTTGTTATTTTTTCATGGTTTTAAATAAACCAGTTTCAGTGCAACCAAAAATAGTGTCAGACGTCGAACTAGAGAGAATTTTAAAATTACGCGGGCAAATGCCAATAAATACTAATCAAGCTGGGTGGGGCCCAGTACCAGGTGCGGGTGCTGACGGAAGTGCATCTTGGGGTTTTCCAGCTGCTGTCATATCTGGAGATTTAGTGCAACAACATATCTTTCCGAACGATGATCTCACTCGTCCGTACTAACTATCTGCACCAACTGTTCGTACTAACTTTTACTTTTAATATTTATCTATTTCTGAGATACTTGGGTGTTCTTGCTCAGGAATGAAGACGTAGAAAGTGTATTTGCGAAAATGACTGAATCTCTTTGTTTATTTTTTCAGTTACTTAATCAAACTTTTGTTTATGTACAAAATAATTTCTTGAGCGAGGATATGTAAAATGTCGGTTTATTTATGAGCGAAACAAGTCAGCTCGGTTTTTGGTTGAGCATCTCTTCGAAGTTCTCATTCTCAATGTTGCAGTGATATGTCCATTTCCTCAGTCCTTATTTGTTTTTTTTTTTTTTTTTTT